ATGCATGATAGCTACCATTGTTGACTTTTTTTTCTTATAATAGAAGCAGGTTTGGTGATATTTAACCAGACAAACAGAAAGATAATATGGTGGTCCTTCATTCATTTAAATGTCCAAACTATTAGCAAAAGAAAAAGGAAAATGTAAGTGTGAGGGGTTAATGTGTTTATTTTGAATAATTTAATTTCTTTTGATTAAAATAATAATGACTTAATGAGGAAATATCTACAATATTTAATCAAATTAGGACAAAGACCATTCTCTGCCTAAGTTCTTTTATCTTGTTTCATTTGGTACCTAGCTAGGTCTATGGGCAGGAAAAAAAAAAGAGAGAAGAGAAACAATGTATTGTTTAGAATAATATTAGGATAATATGCTACATGAATGCGACGCTCGTGATAGAGCATGGACCTGCTAGGTGTGGCTCAATTAGAAGCACTGACATATTTTTACTACAAATTTCAGAAGAAGTTTTTGCATGAATTGTCCCTGTAGATTTTGGGGTGATCTTTAATTTTTATCCATCAAAGCAGTTGTCTTTAATTTTGGCCTAGTTTTTCATGTAATTAAAATTTGTGGCTTAAATTATTTTTAACTATGACCTAATTCTGCAAGGCAAAAAGCTTAGAGAACTAAAAGACATAATTTTGTAGGTTTTAAAACTGAACTTATGTCTTGTAACGCATAACTTGTGCCTTGTGATCAATTGTCTTGCAACTTTGTTCACATGTAACTTATAACTTGTGGCGAGTTATGAACTTCTTGAAACATAATGTTTTGAAATTGTAGTTATGTCCTGTGCATTGTAAATTTTGTCTTGTAAAGCATATTAATTCGTCGGTTATGAATTTCTCAAGACATAATAACTTATGTCTTGTAATACCTAACCTGTCTTAATGTCTTGTAAATTTTATTTTTATTATAAGTTACAACTTGTGTCTTGCTATTTATTTTTCTCAATGTTAAGTACTTTTGACTTTTTTTTTTTATTACTACAAGTAATATTGAAGAATAAAAATTAAACATGGTCACCCCAAAATAAAAAAACATTAATATAAGTGGCTCGGGTGTATATATGACATCTTAAAAGAGAAAAATAAAGTATCATATAAAACATAACATAAATCCAAGTGGTAAATATATTTTTGACTCAATATGACTTGAACCCAACCAACAAATGAGTGAGATCTAACCAACCAAAATGGACAATACGTACAATAAGCTTGGAGTGACGTGTTGTTTTTAATTATTTGGTATAATACTTAATTAGTGAACCTCAAATAAATTTATATTTAGGTTGTTAGGACACGAATTTACATGTTTGACATGTTCCTAATAGATATAGCTTTTGGCCAAATTTTAGCTGCTTGAACTAAAACACACACTTAAACTTCATGTTTGGTAAAATATCACTTATCATATTAAAGTTTATTTCAAAAAATTCATGCCTTTTGTTTTCTGTATTAACAAACTGGTTGACTAAAATTGAGTCCAGTTTGAATTATGAGTGTTCAAAGTACTATGCTCTTAAATCTTAATTAATTTTGAAAATCCATAATATTGATTATTGATAGTGTACAACTTACCAATATGAATTGTGGTGCAGTAGTACTGATTATAAGACTATTCTATCCTTAATCGAAGTATCGAATTTAAGCTCTGGATATGGAGAAAATCATGTTAGGAGTTGCTCCTATGCATGATCCGAATTTAGTCGGAACTTCAATGTGAACACCAAACACTGAGTGAGAAAAGAAAAAGGATAGTACTCCATACAACTTCTAATTTAAATTGTATTTAATGCTAATCCTAGACTCCTAGCTAGTAGCTATGGAGTAGGGCAGATAGATTTAGTCTCAAATTATTATTACTAATCTTTGTAAAAAAAAATAAAAAATTGGTGCCATTGGTCGCAATTATTAATTTAGTCTTAACATTAAAGGAATAAAACATACTTGCACGTAATATCAAAAAAAGAAAAGTTGACTAATGATGTCGGAAGAAATGGGATGTCTGTCGTTAATATTGCTCTTTTTTAATTAGCACATAATCTGGCGTTTTCATAACATATAAAAAAAAATCGGACGTGTTAATAATTGCGAGGTCACAAATTCGAAAAGTAAGTTATTTTTTCATATTTGATCGTCAAAAATATTATTTTTAAAGAATACATTCTCGCCAAAAGAGAGAGTTATTTTTCATTTTATACATATATATTAATATTTTCCTTCACAATTATTTCAACAGTTTTTAATTTAGGATAATCATATACTCCATATAATAGCATTAATTTCTATTCTACATTGATTGTACTATATATCAATGCCAAACACATATGCAGACCCTTAAACTTGTCCCTAAATTTCATTTTGGCACTTCAACTCAATCTTGTTCCATTTTAACCCTTCAACTCTAATTTTTATGTTCCATTTTGGCACTTCTTTCCAAAGAATCAACAAAGTGGGATGTGTGTACTTCGCATGCCATTATTGTGTTAAAAAATAATGGATGAACATCATTTTTTTTAAAATATATTTTTTTTAGAGTTTCTGCACATTATTGTGTGAAAAAATAATTGGTCAAAGTGTGTTGGTTTTTTTTTAAAAAAACAATTAGTTAATTTAAATAACATCACATATATTTTTTTTCATATCTAGTCTACTTGGACTACTCAAATATCAGCTTTCTAATTTTTCATTCAACTAAATGAGTAAAAAAAAACTCATGTTCATTGCTAATTAATAACACTACAAAAAAATGTTGAAACTCGATAGACTTCGTTGGGTTGTCATTGATTTTTTTAAGAAAGAAAATCGACGCACTTTCATCGGTTTATTTTCACGCAAAAATATAGGAAAACTCTTAATAAGAAATTGTTACTTTTTTTATAAAAAAAACAATGATAATCCGTCAGTTTTAATTTTTTACAATAATTAACAGATGATCGTCGATTTTTAAAATGCAAAATTGCAATTGAATAACATATATAGAAATAAAGAAATCATAAAATTATTATTTTGTGTTAAATGGTACATAAAAGAAATAGAGTTGAAGGGTAATCTTTTATTATTTTTTTTAAAAATACTTTTTTTTTGTCTTTCACTCTCTTAGAGAATGTGTGATGCACACTCTCTGCCACATCACTTAGAAGTACCAAAATGGAACATAAAAATTGGAGTTGAAGGGTTAAAATGGAACAAGGTTGAGTTGGAGAGTCAAAGTGAAATTTAGGGACAAGTTTAAGGGTCTGCATATGTGTTTGACCATATATCAACTATGTTACACTTTGTTTGGACGGTAATTATGTATTGTTTCATAATGTATTATATTATAATGTATTGTATTGTATTGTATTATTATAATGAATATAATGCTTGGATAGTTTGTATCGTTATCCTTCATTACATAATGTCATACATTCATAATTTGAATGATAAACTTACAAGAAAAGTATGATACATGATAGAACTACTATGAAAAGGTAGGGTAAAAATAAAATAGAATTATTAAATAATAAGTAAAGACAAAATGAGAAGAAAATATTAAGGTAACGATGCGATCACACCAAATCAGTTACACAAAATGGGTCTGTCGTAACCTAACAACGAATTTAAACAATACGACACAATAAACTTTAAGTAACAATCAAAACAAACATGATATCTAAACTAACAATACAATACCATGGGTAACAACCATCCAAACAAGGTGTAAGCCTTAATGCTATAATGCTAATTACCATTTACCATTTTTTTTCTTTCTAACCCTAAGACGATTATGGGTTTTTGCTTAAAGTTGAGGGTACTTTAGTCATATCCTAACATGTGTGATTACTTGAAATGTCACGTCCACAAGACCACAACTATCAAAAATGTCATTGTGAAGTGATTAAAGTTACTTGTAATCTATTGGTAATTTAAAAAAAAAAAACAATTACCACAGTTCTAGCTCCACTTTGTTATTTTATCAATTTTGTAATGAATATTCTTTAATCCATGCAGTACTCCATTTTGTTCTCAAAAGAGCTAAATGTACAAAAAATAATAATGATTTGATGTGATATCATGATGTTACTTAAACTAGTAGTATTATTTACGAACGGACAAATTTAAAATCTTTGGGTATATCCTTTTTTTTTTTTTTTACATATATCCTCCTTTATTTTCATTTTTTTACAATATCTTAATTATTACTATTTATTCAGACATAGATTCAAATTCAGATATTTTAATCTTAACGCAAACAAATGGATAGCTTGCTTGAAAAATTCAAATAAAAGTTTCAATTTTATAACCTCCTTATCTAGATCAACTTTTGTTTTAAGAACTTTATACTAACACTTTTCCACACTTCAATTCCTATTACAAGTTAACAAAGTAAACTTCGTATAGATTGTGATACCCAAAAAAGGTTAGAGACATGTTAGCCAATTGCACTTCTTTTCTATTTTTTCTTTTTCTTTGCTTACTTTGAGTGCACTAAAGTAATTACTTGGCATCATGTCTAAAGTTCATTTTAAAGAAATTTTTTGTATGGTTGGACAACACATTAAGCAAAAAATTTGAGCTTCACTTTTTCTTTCTTTCTTTACAACTAATCACAGCCATAACTTTTTTTTTTGCTTTCGTTCTTTTGTTTTGTTGAGTGCGGTACAAAGCTCTAGGTCGAAAAGTCATGAGACAGAATATTTTCCTTGGACTTTGCCCAATCACTTCAACATTTTGTTATCTTAAATAAGCTTTACTATTTCCTTTGGACTCCCCGACCATAATAAATTAGTTGATAGAGAGAGGAAATCTGGTCACGAGTTGAAAAACAAAACTCTGTTTCCAGGAAATTGCGCACCATGACCTCATACGAGTAAAAGACGGTTTCAGAATTTAAATTTTATGAATTTTTTGTCGTGATCTCAAATTAATGAACAATCCCAGCACATATATATATTGTGGATCCACCCATTCGTTGAGACGAAGAAAAAAAACTATAAGGATTTAATGTAATAATGGAGGGAATAGGAAAAATATATTATGATGGCTAGGAAATTATTTCCTTGAACAGAGCAGAGCTCAATACAAAATTTTCTGGGACAAAAAATAAATACATGTAGTGCAGAATAATTTCTTACAGCTAGGAAGAATGACACCTACTTAGCAAAAAATCGACACTCTTTACAAAATTTTCTTGAATGACTGTCCTCCTGTAGCAGCATGTTAGCACAAAATACACGCTGCTCTTATCGTCAATTCTGTATAAATATGTTCTTCAACTCCTATGTTAAAAACTGTTTATAATTACTGTTTCACTTCTTGATTTTGTGTATCTTCTACTTTATTGGAGATCGATGAAAATGGAGCACAGCAGGAAGAAATGTCAATCCCAGCAACCTCCAAGGCATTGCAGACCCATTCAGGAACATCACCTTGGGGGAACTACAGGTCAAATTTAAGAAGTCACCACAATTTACAGTAACAAATATTTGTATCAGTAATTTAATTAAATGCATGCATGATATACCAGCAAACAAACAGGCAAAGGTAGCAGAATTTTCAAGTGATTAACGCCTTAAAGACGTGGTCAACAAGTAATATTGTAATACGATGCAATACTCAATGAAATCACTGTCTGAGTGAAATTATTCATTACCATTTTCTGCAGAAATTGACAGACAAATCTGCAAAATTAAACAAATAAGTCAAATGATAAGGTAAAAAAAAACCAATGGATGAGAGAAGAAAATGAGAATGAGATAGTGATTCATCTTGAAATGCAAGACAAGTGATAAGTGTAAAGAAAGCTTTTAATAGTGAGGAGAAATCTATTTAAAACTATAAGTGAACATACTCTGGAAACCGTCCTTCAACAATTGACGAGTGCAAATCTCTGCTAAGCTGCATAATTTGAATGGCTCAAAGTCATGGCTGAGCTAATAAACAAATGAAAATATCTTTAAAAACCTCAGTGTTTGGTACCTTCATCATATAGTATAGGTTGTGATATGACAGAAGTTGAGATCCCATGGCATCTTTAGTGACAAGGCAATGAATGTAAGCCCTCGTATATGTTTTACAAACCTGTCAAGAGATGACTAGTATTTCAAACATCGTATAAATTGAAAGTAAGACCATCTGTAGTCGATCATCATCTATTTCACTTTACCATGCAGTCACATGTGGGATCAATAGGACGCATATCATCTTCCATTGCCTTGTGTTTGAGTTTTAGAACTCCCTGCATCATGACACGATAAGAGAAAAGGCATTATTCCACTTCATAATGAATGGTGGATGATATTTTCATCATAAATTGTTTGAGCTTGGTTTTCAGTGCTCAAGTTTATGAATCATTGCGAAGAAAATTCGTGAACAGATTTCAGGAAAAAAACCCTTAAATTAACAATAGAAAGATAAAATCAGATTGATAAATAAGAGGAAACCAGATTTTCTCAAAACATCGAAAAGTTTTCAAATCATTGAACTACCAGTCTCCATGAACATTTTGAAGAAGGTAGTCAATAATACTTTTATCACATGGAAGGAGGAGGGAAGGAGGAGCAGCATATGTGCACAAATTCAACTAAATGGAGTTTCTACTAAAAGGAAATTTTGAGCAGCTCAGCATTATTTAACTACTACTAGATTACTAGACCCACGACATGCTTATCATCTCTCCCTCTCAGTGTTTACAGATCAGACAAGATTTCTATATAGATCAAGAATACACAAAACATTGGTGTTGGGTTAGAATATTAGCGGTTATAGATTTCTTACATGCAATCTGAGAATTAGTATTAGATTGGTTTCAAAAGAATGCCACTGTGTGATATCCAGAGCCTAAGTGATGAGCATACAGAGGCAGTGGGCTGAGAAAATTACCTCAGGTACTAGAGCTGTGCCAAAACGAGCGGTACGAGTAGGATAGACACAATCATACATGTCAGCACCTAAAGCACTGCAAACCACAATGTCTAGTGGGTAACCCACCCCCTGGAGTACAGCAGTCGAGTTATCAGAAGCCAGAAGGCATCACATATAAAACTAGAGAATTTGAAAATAGAGGCATCAAGTTATATCTACCAAGGAACATCATAAGAGTGACATTTACCATTACATATCGTGGTTTATGCTCAGGTAGTGCAGCAGTACACTGAGCCACGACACGCCAAAAGGAGTCTTTATCTTCACCGCCTGCAAGACCACCAATAGCATAGCTGTCACACAAGTAAATTCGTCATTCACTCTGTTGATTGTTGAACCTCAATTCTTCTAGTTTGGTTTGTCAGGTAAGCTGCTTTTGAGTTTTATAAGTTATAAGAGGAACATGAATGTGTAAATATATACACGTTAAGGTTTCCACATACAAGGTGACGAACATTTTTGATAAAGTGTGCATATTCAGAACTATGAACATACCCAGGCAAATTGCGTTCAACTAAACCTCTGACACATATATCCCTGATAACAAGAAATAAAAATAACAAAGTTTGTCAATTGAGATATATTTATGTAAACAATAAAGCAATCCCGGAAGCAACAGGATGTCACAATGTAAGTCACCTTAATACAGGATCTAAACCACCTTGCACTATGCCAAATAGATTCTGTTCATGTGGTCTCTTATGAGCTGCCAATGACAAACAAAAGCAGGAAAAACACAAAATTGAGAATCTGGTAGTAGTGCATCAGCAATTTTACCTAAGAAACTCTTAAGTTTAACACTAGAAAGAGAAATTCTCAAGCAAACTTTGAGAAACAGTTACTTGAAAAGAAAAACTTCAAAACATCCAAGTTCCACCGAGAACCTTACTCAACTATCTGTCAATAGTGTCTACAGGACTTAACCCTTGTTAAGCACTGCTAGTTGATTGCATAGCATGACAAGTGGGGCTTAATATTTTAGGACTATTTTACATTCAATAATAATCTCATCCAACTCTACCGCCTAACTCATCACGTCTACCATAAAAATGAGCCAATTCCGTCCTTTCATCATCAAAGTGTGCCAAATTAACCAAAAGCTAACAGCTCAATTGTTTTCAAATTCCTCTCTTTCCTAGGCTTTCCATTCTCAAAATACCTCCCACCTTTCTGGCAAAAACTAGAAAACATCAGAATAAGAAGTAGAGAAAATTCCTACATTACAGCTGGTCGTAACCCGATTCTGTAGAGATTTATCTTTTGCCCACTGAATGTGATTAATGATGAATTTAAGTAAGATAAATAACCACATTGAAATGTACAGCCTGCTCCATCATATTACCTGCTATGCACCTATCTATCCAACGAAGAGTTCGATACATAGCCTCTTCAATTCTTGGACCTGTGATAGTAGTTTTCACGACATCATCGAGAGCCATAATAATATCTGCACCAATTCTGTTCTGTAATGTGTTGGACAAGTCAGCAAGTTAAGGAAAATCAGTTGTAAAGGGCATCTCAAGAAACATAAAGTGATAAATATCAGGCTGATGAAAAGATATGATTCGACTAATCAGCAGTATTATTGGGAGTAGATGATATAGAAGCAAAAGCTCGGATATCAGGCTGATGAAAAGATATGATTCTACTAATCAGCAGTATTATTGGGAGTAGATGATATAGAAGCAAAAGCTCGGATACAGCTTTTGTCAGCTCAACAGAAGTTATGCAGCTAGAGTACACACTAGTAAATGCAGTACAACAAGTGGAAACAGCATCACATGATATAATTAACTTGTCCAATTACAAATGATGAACCCAAGTGTACACCGTACGCAAAGCCTATCAGACCAAAAAAGAATAAGCAGGGAACACAGGACTACCAATCATTGGCACTCACACCAGAGCAGTCACCAAAAGAATGTCATTCTCTATAACTATAGTATAAATAGTAATCAATTCGATCATGCTACAATGTTCCAAACAATCGCAGGGTTTAGGGTTAGAATATGGCCTTGAAAGATATTTTGGAGAAGTAAAGCTATCCTGAAAGTGGATTGGTTTGTTTGCATGCCAGCTAAGAGGCATGTTTTACTCAACAAGATTCACAGAGAAGGGGATTTAGCTTGCGCAACAGATGCTACTAGTGTAACAATTTGTGTGAGACATCACATCCCTTTTTTTGTTGCAGTATCAGCTGGCAGGTATGGAACTTGTTTTTGAATCTTTTTGACGCGCAGTGGATTATGCCAGAGACAGTGAAGAGATGTTATAAAGCCAGCACAGGCATGGGCTAAAAAGGGTGTTTCAGCTTTGTGTAGCACAACTCTGCATTCATTCTATGGAGCACTTGGATGGAATACAAACGTAAATTTATTAAGGGAAAATTTGATTCTGCTCATAGAGTAAATTTTGTGTCTAGAACATTTGGACTTAGTGGTGTAAAGGAATCGCTGTGAATTATATGGATTTTGGTATGGACTTATTGACTCCTTATTTTGTTAAAAAGGAGTAGCAGTCCTCTGATCTTTTATACATCTTAACACTTTCTTGGTGATATTAATGAAATATTCAACTTATTGTTAGAGTGGGAAAAAGTCTCACATTGGTTGGGGAATGGACTGGTGGTCTCCTTATATGGACTTGGGCAGTCCTCCCTTCATGAGCTAGCTTTTGGGGTTAAGTTAGGCCCAGGTGTCATATTTTTACATGGTATCAGAGCCAGGTCCATCCCCATTTGGACTCCCGGTCCACGCTCCAGTTGGGCCTGGGTGAGAAGGGGGGTGGTTAGAGTGGATTAAAGTCCCACATTGGTTGGAGAATGGATTGGTGTCTCCTTATATGGACTTGGGCAGTCCTCCCCTCATGAGCTAGCTTTTGGGGTTGAGTTAGGCCCAAGTGTCATATCTTTATACGTATCAACCTTCTACATTTACTACCTATAGAGCATATCAAATTTCAGCAATGTTTCCAAAGATTCCAACAGTTTATAGATCTCAGTGCTTGCAGATACAGTTGAGAAACATTGAGATGCAACATAAAGTTCAGCATCTAACTATCAAAAGTCTAGTTAAGCATCTGTAAACAAGAGGGTATTCCTGGCTCGAGCTCAATCTGCTTGTACAGAACCCGGACTGTGGAGAATAGAAGCAAACACATCTTGACACAATTTTGTAAGGACTAACCTACCATGTGTGTGAAGATTGCACCAGTTAGGAATTATTATACATTCTGCTTGCTTGGAGTATGACTTTGAGATACAAATATAGTATACTACTAACTACAAGATCTATAAATAACAGAATATCTACATCCCAAAATGTACTTACTTGTATCTGTATTGACTCTTCAGGTGTAAGGAGCATTGGCTTTCCATCCACAGGTGACTGCAAAAAGGAAGTGACAAATTAAACCGCATGAAACAAAAGAGATAAGGATATAAAACAACAATGGGAAAGTAGAAAAGGAATACCTGAAACGTGACACCCTTTTCAGTGATATCAGCCAAATGCAACAAGGATACCTACAACCAGAAAGGTTTTAAGCTCATTTGACATCTAGTGCTACCAATTTTTTCATTGTCAAACAATACATCATATAGAACAAAGCATTTCATGTGGTACCATAAGACACTAAACAACTAGTTTTGCAAACTTTTGAAGACATGCATGAAATCCATAAGAATAATAGCGAAACAATATGGCACAAAGGAGTATAGGCTTCCTGATAAACATGTGTTTAGTACATCCTAAATAAAGATGGTTATAGCTTTTCGAATTAAAAAATCCCAAGTGAACATTGAGGAAGCAGAAGAGTGATAGACTACCATTTGAAAGCCCCCAGAGTCCGTAAGTAGTGCCCTCGGCCAATTCATGAACTTATGAAGACCCCCTAACTCATCAATGAGCTCAGAGGTAGGACGTAGTGCCAAATGATATGTGTTTCCGAGGATTATTTGGCAACCAATATCCTCAAGCTGGTGGGTGGTCAAACCCTTTATAGTACCTGTGAATATGAAAAGTCCAAATGGGTGACAATGAGAAAAAATGCATATCATCAACAAATCCAATAATAGTTTCTACAATTATAAGTATGAAGAGCAATAAAAAGTACTCTCATAAAAAGTTCCAAACATACAGTCTGTAAGCCGATTTAGTGCAGAATATAATGTATAGAGTTCTAAGCTGCAGACAGAATTAACTGATACTTTTGATTGAAACAGGAAAACAAAATACGTTAATAACAGCAATAGAAGATAAAGAGACAAAAATTTACGAGGTTCGGCCAATATGCCTACATCCATGGATAAGGAGGAGCAATTTCATCATATTTTCAAAAGTAAAGTAAAACAGAGTACAATTTAAACTAAGAAAAAGTGTAAAAGGTACTTTGTGTCATGTGAAATTCATCCCCCAATGCCAACTAGATCCAATTCTAAACCCAAATACTGGAAGCACTATTTTGGAAAACAATTTTCAGAAAATAAGTCATTTGTCTAAAAATATTCTGATCATACCAAACGCATCGGTCTTATTTCAATCAAAAGTATTGATTGATTATGTCTGCGGCATAACATAGAGGAAGTCAAAATAATTTTGGCTGGACACAGTTACCAGACCATATATGAGACAACTTCACTGTTTTTTCAAACAAATTAGACCTAAACCCTATACTCTTGACCTACTTATAGCAAGAGGAATCAATAGACTGCTGGCTCTAATTGTTAAGGTTTGTCAAATATCTAAAGAACTTAACCATAGACTCGATACAATATGACAAATTATTAAGAGAGAGAAAGAGAGAGCTTCCTGTCGATCAACTCCTAACATACTCTTACCTTGAGTGCCAACAGGCATGAAAAGAGGTGTCTGGCACTCATAGTGAGGGAGTATAAGCTGAGCTGCACGAGCACGATTAAATCTCCCAAGGATCTGGCATCAGAAATATTTAGGCACAGTAACTTAGTGGAATAACAAACAAACAAAAGTTTTGTAATAGACAAAAAACTTAGGGCGACTAGTTACATTGCTATGTCATATCAGCTGCAATAAAAAAAACAGCTGATGTAGATTGCCATCAAGATTTCCCTAAATTAATTGGAGATTTAAAAAGACTGGCCTTCCCAGACAAAGTTTAACCGAGCTTATTATTTTGTCACAAAATTGCAACTTAAAATTCTCAATCCTAAGTTGATGGGACACGTTCTTTTGATGAGTACAGTCGATCCAAATTCACATATCAAAAAATCTATCACATTACACTAGAAGCGTAATAATGTTCTATTGCAACATCAGCTTACTACAACAACTATGCCTCAATCCCAAACTACATTGAGGTCAGCTATATGAACCCTCAGCATCCATCCTCACCATTAGAACCCTTTTCAATTCAATACTCAATAATTTGTTATTTTAAGACAAATTACAATTTATCAATATTCAACAATCCAGTTTCATAAGTGTCAGCTTCTACTTATATGAAACACCCAAAATCTCTGTAGTAAATTAAAAAAACGTCAAAGAAGCTCACCTCAAAACGAAGTGCCATTAACGCCACTACCTTCCACCAGGTCAGTATCAACAACTAACTGAAACCGCCAAAAAATAAAATAGTTAAACTCATAAAAGTAAACTTTTAGCTCAAACACACAAATTTTTAATTAACAATGTCACTAAAACAAAAGTGCATTCTAGTTGATGAGGATTAAGAAGTAACAAACGAACCAAACTTACAAATTTTGCTAGAAAATTAATGATTCTATAAGCTTATGCCTAACGTCAAATACAATACCATTATTATATAAATAATGCATATATGAAAGGTGAATATTCAGATAAGCTTACATAAAACGGTGAATTAATCGGCGGCGGCGACGGCAAAGAGAATCAGAATACGAGCGTGCCCTAAATTAGCAGTGTGAGGTACGTGAAAAGGGCGGCCGAAGTCAAATTTTCCTTAAATAGCATAATATTTAAATTTGTCTGACCAAAGTCGACACAAACTGAAGTTTCTGCGCGTTTCGAATTTGTCAAATTCTATCAAAAAGAATGAGTATCCATACTGTCAAAACTTACTTATTTTGAAAAGAAAAAAAAAAGGTTTGTAGTTGAGCAATTTATGAGTTTTTTTTTTTATATTTAATAAGTAAATTGTGTTTAATTAATATATTTGAATGTTAAGTCAAGATAAAAGACAACTATCTAGACATACTTATAATTAAATCACTTAATTACAAATTTAAAAATGAAAATAATCAATTCAAAATTATAATAATATTAATCTTATAATGAAAGTATTTATGTAATACAATTTGATCGTAAAATCATAATGAAATTTTGTTATGAATAATATAGGCTCACCATTACAATAAAATATGTATCAACGTTTTAAATTTAAAAAAAAAAAAAATACTAACAGTAAGAATAAATTTTATCTTACCTCTAACCGATTATTTAAGTTATCTTTAAGTAAACTTGAATTTAAACTCTCAAAATCTACAATTGAGTAGTTTAAGTTATAACTTAACTTTCATCAAAATATAATATTGTTATTCATTAATATCCAGAATATATATTACTCTCATCCTTCAACTTTACTAATCATGTGATCTATAACTATAATAATAAAATTTCAATCTTAATGTAAAAAAAGGAACAAATTACTTTGAGCAATGCTCTCACAAATAACAAATTTTGTTGTTCTTAAGAATCTTTTACGTTCTTAATGAAAACTTAATTTTTTTTTAGTAACAAATATATAATAAATGATAAAACCCCCCAACCTATAGCCGGATTCTCAACTACACACTCATACTTCACGAAGGTCCTATTACCCCCTGAACATTTTTTTTTACTATATTATCTCACCCTTATTTGCTGACATGTCTACATAAATCATATATAATAAAATGTTTGTTTACACGCGCTGCCAAGTATTGAATGGACTCCATAACTCTAAAATTTCCCTTAATCTTTTCATTTTCCTCTTTCTTTCTCTAACCCTAACCTTTTTTCAATCACTCCATATTCACCCCCCATTCTCTTCATGATATGAGATTTCGTTCCAATTTGGATTTGAAGAACAAATTTTTGAACCCTAACTATGAAAGCTTATTCAAGTCCGCATTTGCTATTATTTATCCTAACAAAGCAAAAAATGATGAATTTGAAGAACAATTTTTGAACTCTAACTATGAAATCGGAGAAATTACAAGCCCTAAAGCTTCAAGCTTTTTCGAAATTGAAACTACAGTTGAATGTTTTGACAAGTAAATTCAAGTTTTAAGCTGATTTTGGGAGAGAATGAAGGAATATACAATTGAAAAATTGAGAAAAATAGGAAGAAAAAGAGAGTTTGATTTTGGGAGAGAATGAGATTATACCAATGGGGGATTAATTATAGCTGATTTGGACTAACACCAGTACTTTTCTTCAACTTTTGACGTTTTATTTTCTCTTCTTATGCGCCTAAGGGAGTTGTTCTCACCTTCTTCGACATGTCAGCAAATAAGGCTGAGATAATATGTAAAAAAAATGTCCAAGGGGAATCCCGTGAAGTATGAGTGTGTAGTTGGGAATCCGGTTATAGGTTGGGGGGTGGGGGGTTTTTTGGCCATTTTCTCTAAAAATAAAATAAAATTGAGGATAGAACGCTGCCGAATTCGTGAATTAGACATGATTCCTTTGTCCATAATAAGAAGTGGTGGGTCAATTTTCATAAATTTCATCGTAAATGTGAAATACTTATACAAATAAAAATGCGGGAGAGATAAAAAGATGCAGGGTCGTGTGAATTAGACATGATTCCTTTGTCCATAATAAGAAGTGGTGGGTCAATTTTCATAAATTTCATCGTAAATGTGAAATACTTATACAAATAAAAATGCGGGAGAGATAAAAAAGATGCAGGGTCGTTTGTCTGCTTGGCTAGTCAAGCATGGGCTAATTCATAGATCTTTGGGCTTTGATTACCAAGGAATTGAGACTTTACAAATAAAGCTCGAGGATTGGCATTCTAGACTTATCAAATATCCTTAAATTTGTAAAAATAAAGTAATTTTCTCTATTTTCATTGTAACTTGTACAGTATTTATTCTACCCAGGTATTATGCTTATTATTTCGGGGTCTAAATGCACCTAAAAAGATCAGTGCCTAAGTGAACGATTTGTGATCCTATCTCATCTAAAATGGGCTCTTCGACTCATCATTTTGTCATTGTGATATGATATCATCGCGCCCAAAAAGATTTTTTTAACAATTCTAATATACGAAATATCAAAACAATGAATAATTTGTTATATATATATATTACTTAGTTTATTGTATATTGACCGATGCAATTGTTTAAAGAAAAGTTCAACTTGATTCAAACCATTTTTTTATAAATGTTATTGTAACCTCCAAAAAATAAAAATTTAAATATTCCATTCTTTATAACATTTTGAGCATTCTTATATACAACTGAAAATATATGAGTGAACATGTTAATACTTAGTACTTAATTTTGGGACTTTACTTCATGTTTTTCTCCTCTATCAGATTTTTCTAAAAAATTATCTATTTCACGGTGTCTAATGTATTAGGATTGGGAGGAATTGAACATGTCCAAATTATCTTTTATTACATTCTTTGATTAATTCATAGCTCAATTAATCAATTTTTAATGTTATCTACCCATCTATTTAGACAATGTCGCAAACACGTGGCCATTTACTTTTTAATATAATTAAATAAAAAGTGTCTCAATAAAATTAGTAGCCTAAAATAATTTTTAGTAAAAGATCTTAAATAAATAAGTCAAAGGCTTTACGTATTTATTGTTTTTTTAGTGTGGTATTCTTAAATAACATTAAAGTCTTTAATTAATCTCACATGATTTTTATAAAACTAAGAATTAATTTTAGCTAATAAGATATTCGCAATGTCTTCGCAATATATCGCCTTGGATATTATTATAAAATATTTATTCATAAATATGCGATTTGAGTTATTTAATTTAAAATTCTAAAATATTTTTGATAAAAGGTAGATATTTATTTATTAATATATGATTTGAGTTTTATATATATATATTTTTTATTATTTTTCTACATTTTTTCAAGTTAAAAGTAAAATAATAAAATTTATCTTCAAAAATTTGTTTGAGCCTAAAACAAAAGCTTTTCTTTCCACACACTTGAGCCACTCCTAAATAAACCAATATTTTTTCAAAGAATGTCACTTCCCAAAACAACATTCTAAAGCAAGCACTACTGTGCGCAATTTAAAACCCAAGCGAGGCTGCAATATTTGACAAAAAAATTAAGACTTATCGTTGTTATATTGGTGGAAGAGACCTTCATTAAGCAAATGTGGCAAAAAACTTTCACAAACTCTTAAACAAAAAAGGGACAAAGTTATTATGTTCGACAAATTGGCGCACTCTAAAGGACTTTGGGTATTGTATGTGCCTTAGGATTGAAGAGGTTATACGTGCTATTAGGTGGATGAAAAGGGAAAAAATGACTGGACACAATGAGATTTCGCTGGAACTTTGAAAAAACACTGACAAGGCAAATGTGGAGTGATTGACTAAATTGTTTAATGCTATTTTTAAGACGGCTAAAATGCCCGACGAATGAAGGTGAAGTACAATGATTCCATTTTACAAGAACAAGGGGATATTTAAAACTATAACAATTACATGAGTATTAAATTGCTAAGACACAATGGTGAAGATCGGGGGGTGATGAGTCCATTTTCAAGAATCAATCTAGATTCATGTTGGGTTAATCAACTACTAAAGTCATCCATCTTGTATGAAAACTAGTGAAGAAACGTAGGAAAAAGAAGAATGACCTACATATGGTGTTCATTGATCTTGAAATGGCCTATGAAAAAGTACTGGGAGATGTCATTTAGTTTGAAGGCTAAATATGTCCATATGATTTATATTAGGTGATAAAGGACATGTATGATGGAGCCAAGACCCAGGTTAGAACGGTGGAAGGTGACTCAGAGCATTTTCCAGTTGAGGTGGGGGTCATATCAGGGCCAGTTCTGAGACCTTTCTTATTTTTCTTGGTGATGGATGAGTTGACCCAGTCTATTCAAGACGAGGTTCCATGGTAGATGTTATATGCAAACGACATAATATTGATTGATGAGATACGGGACATAGTTACTAATAGGTTGGAGGTTTGGATACACACTCTTGTGTGAGTGATGGTTAGACCGTCCTTGTTGTAGAGATGGAGTGTTGGTTATGTTGGGTTATGAAGGTGAATAGGGCGTCATGCGGAAGTTTACAATTGCATATCATATGGTTGATAAATTAGATAACAAAAATTATACTAAAAACATAATATTATTATATAAAAACTAATATAAAGGAAAAATATTATAAATTGTTAAGAGAATAAATCTCCCCATAAACAAAAGTTTCTAGATGTCTACATTGTGGATACTATTGTGTTATGCTATGAGAATTATGAATCTTCAATTTATAGATCTCCAAACATTTTCTCTAAGGAAAGAATAAACCAAATATGGAAGAAAATTATATTTTCCTTTCAGAAAAAAGTTCAAGCAATTATGGTAATATTTTGACTTTTCTTTAAGGAAAAAAAATAAACTTCAAATAAGGAAAGAAAATCAAGGCAAAATCCTAACAAATCTCCCATTTTAGCTGGATTTTTTTGACAAAACTTGATCCACCTTATTTACATGCATGATAATATTTGTTCTTCACATAGTCTTCATCATTGTTGCTTGTCATGGTTAAAAATAAAGTTTAAAATATATGGGTTAAAAATGGTTTAAAAATATTTTATTTTAATTTTCAAGGATGCAGCAGCAAGAATGTTGAAAATATGGTTTTAATCTCTTCTCCACATGTAGCTGGACAAAAAATTCTTCTTTATCATCAAATTAGTTGCAAATTAATTTGAAACTGTGTTAAACCTGTCTTTAACCACAATGAACCTGGGTCATTGAACCATTAGATCTGATACCACTTGAGCCTGTCTTCAACCTCATTGAAGCA